TTTAACAACATATGACCGCTTTTAAAAATATTTTGAATCTGGTTGCTGTGCAGCACAAACCGTTCTTTCAGACACTTTAATAAATGAATGAATAAATACTTTTTCACATTCTGCAATGATTATGATGCATTAAATACACAGTCCTAAGTGTGACCGGCTGAATTAAATTTATCTAGAATAGATTAATGAATAAAAATGTAGACATTTTTAGAAATTTTTTATTTTGTTTTTTTTTTTTTTTTTTGTGTGAGTGCAGGTGAGGATTGGAAGAAGGCCAGGGCTATGAATTCCTCATCGCTCCACCTTCTGCAGCCTCTGGACATTGATTTGCAGCTTGAAAAGGCCATGGTAGAGCGAGACAGCAGAATGCCAAGGTGAGGGCCTTGTACTGTTTTGGCCAATTTTTATTTTTTTACTGCTGCATAATTCCTTGTATCAAATCCACTGTCTGATTTATCTGCTGTTTTATTTCTGCCACTAGTTTGCTGTGATTTTTTTTTAATGGTACACCACTGCTTGCTCCAGAAATCACAGCACTGCTTCCTCGAGCAGTATCTTGTGCACTATTCAGAAGGGACTACATAGGTGCAGGTATGAGGGGAGAGCAAGAGAGTGGCTTGGTGTCCTGCTATCTGTTTCTGGGGATGCATGTAGATGCCAGCTGGGAGCGCACATGCAAAGGTTGCTCCATGGGACTTAGGGAAGAGAGGTTTCTGCAAGAGAGGAATGTAAAGCAAAACAAAGGTGTAAAAGAAAAGCATGATGATAAAGAAAGATGGTAAGCACTGATTTTTGCGGCACTAACTGCTTTTTACATTTTGTGATTACGTTTGGAAACTTTTTAAAATATAAACACATGAGCACATTAAGTTATTTTACATAGTATTGTTTTTCCCCAAATGCAATACTGAGTCCTTTGCCAAATGCTTTAGGCTTACTTATTTTTCATTGTAGGTTTAAAGTGTCTGGAGAGTTACCATTGTTGCGCCTCAAGACCTCTGACCGGAAACTCCAAGGAGTTTTTGAACTTGTTAACAGCATCCCTCTGCCACAGCGGCATGCTGTCACTCCAGCTACGAAAGAGAAGAGGGCGGTAAATATGTTTCCACAGGATTGAGTATTTTATAATAAAGTGAACTAAGCATAATAATGACCTCTTAAAAACAAATATAATTGTCATTACCTCTGTCACAAAGTCATTTGCTGCTTTCATTTTCAATAGTTGGTGGAGCAATGGAGATCAGTCTTATGTCCCTGTAGCCAACTGTGCATCCAGAACTGCTATATTATAGTTCAGATGCAGCTTACATTTACTGGGCCATTTATTCTGAATTTGCTTTCACTGTTTTTGGAGCATTTTGGCCATATTCATTGTAGAATCGGAAACTATGGCCCTTTGAAAGGTTTGAGGGGTGAGTACAAGGGTGGGATAGGTATGTTACATAGTTAGTCTGGCTGAAAAAAGACAAAAGTCCATCCAGTTCAACCATAAAAAAAAAGTTATAATCCTAAACCCACAGTTGATACAGAGTAAGGCAAAAAACCCAGCAAAGCATGACCCAATTTGCTCCTGCAAGGTAAAAAATTCCTTCCTGATCCCCTGAGAGGCAATTGGGTAATCCTTGGATCAACTTTACGTATAAATAGTAACCAGTTATATTCTGTGTATCCAAGAAAGAATCCAGGCCTTTTTTAAAGCAATCCACTGAGATGGCCAGAACCAACTCTTGAGGGAGTCTATTCCACATTTTCACAGCTCTTACTGAGTTTCTGTGTTTGGAGATTACATTTCATTTCTCCCAGATGTAAAGAGTGCCCCCTCGTCCTCTGTGATGACCTCATGGTGAATAACTCTACACCTAGTTTGCTAAATGAACCACTGATGTATTTATACATGTTGATCATATCCCCCCTTAATCTCCTCTTCTCAAGAGAGAATAAATTCAGTTCTTCTAATCTTTCCTCATAGCTGAGCTTCTCCATGCCTCGTATCAGTTTGGTTGCCCTTCTCTGTACTTTCTCCAGTTCCTCAATGTTCTTTTGGTGCCCAAAATTGAACTGTATACTCCAGATGAGGTCTTACTAATGATTTGTACAGGGGTAAAATTATATATCTCTCTCTGGAGTCTATACCTCTTTTAATACAAGAGAGGATTTTGCTCGCTTCAGAAACTGCAGCTTGGCATTGCATGCCATTATTAAGCTTGTGATCTACCAGAACTCCCAGATCCTTCTCTACCATTGATTCCCTCAGTTTTACTCCCCCTAGTATGTATGATGCATGCATATTCTTAGCCCCCAAGTGCAGAACTTTACATTTATCAACATTAAACCTCATTTGCCACATAGTTGCCCAATTAAACAGTGCATTGAGGTTGGCTTGTAAGTTGGAGACATCCTGTAAGGACGTTATTCCACTGCACAGCTTGGTGTCATCTGCAAAGACTGAAAGGGTATTTTTAATCCCAGACCCTATATCGTTTATAAATATATTAAAAAGTAAGGGTCCCAACACTGAACCTTGGGGTACACCACTGACAACCCTAGACCATTCAGAGTATGAATCATTAACCACTACTCTCTGAATATGATCTTTTAGTCAGTTTTCTATCCATTTACATACGGATTTTCCCAAGCCTGTAGACTTTACCTTACACATTAGCCGTGTGTGGGGAACTGTGTCAAACGCTTTTGCAAAAAGTATAGTACGTTCACCGCCACCCCTGTCCAAGGTTTTTGCTCACCTCGTCATAAAAAGAAATCAGATTTGTTTGACAACTTCTGTCTTTCATGAATCCATGCTGTCTGTTGCCTAAAATATTTTTTACCAGCAAGAACTCATCTATGTGGTCTTTTATTAAACTCTCCAGTATCTTCCCAACTATAGAAGTTAAACTAACAGGTCTATAATTACTTGGTAAAGATTTTGACTCCTTTTTAAATATTGGCACTACATTGGCCTTTAGCCAATCCAGTGGTACTATTACTCTCACTGAGGTATGTTGATGCAAATCAAAAGAAAAAAATAAGCCTTTTATTATTTCTGGTAGCAATGCTATTTATGTATTTTCTTGACGATAATACTGCACATTACAGTGCTTAGGATATAGTGGGCAAAAGCAATGAAAAAGCCCTCCACCAAACGACTATCATATCCTGAAATGGTTGGATATTTCCTTTACATTTTGATTCTTGGTTGTGGTAACTGCATTCATTTTCTTCTTTAAGACTTTTGTTCCTTTATTTTCACCTGGTGATCCAGCCAGTATTTCTGTTATTTTTCAAGTTCATTTGGCAGGCCAAGCTTTCCAGCAAAAGAGACAGAGGATTGAGACATACCATTTAACACTGACAGTGGTACTTACAATGGTTTGTTTTATTCATTCATAAAACTGTTTCTGTAGCTGCAGTTTGAATCTAACACTGCCCTCTTCCCAGATTGAGGGATCTGCTGTCCAAAGGTGTCTTTACTGCTCCTCCATTTAGATTGGAGATAGAAAGTATGTTACTGGCCGAATCACTAGGTAAAAATAAATGAAGAAAGAAAAGAGAAGAAGCAAATGCAGCTACATCTAAGAATTGGTAAGCTTCAATATATAAATTTTTTTGTGTTTGGGTATAATACTGCTTTAAAGAAGTTCAGCCAAATCTCTTTTGGCTGTACTTCTCCTGTGGATCACAGGAGTGCAGTTTGTTCTGCACTCCTGTGACCTGTTTTCAGCTGACAGCGGACTGTCATCTGACATCATTCTCCATCCAGGCTGGGGAAAGATCTCGACTTTAAAGTTGGGATCCATGCCAGAGTCTGGAGTGGTACCACAGTGAGCCGCTGAGAGCCTGAATCAGTCGCTCCCTCCCCCTCCACAGCCCAGCGCTCCTTTGAGGGCAGGGGGCAGAGCAGATAGCGATGACTGACGGTCACCACTCTCTGCTCATGTGACCGGCGGGGGACAGCGCAACATAATAAGTCTACACTCATCTTTTACGTCACAAAGTCATACAAATTACATTACTTGTGGTTATTATTTTATCTCATGATGATTTTCCCATCAAAGATTTACACTTTACAGAAATATATAATGCAATGGTGTGAAATTATTTATCCAAATGAAACAATTCACAGTTTAAAAGTCTTAGTCACAAAGTTTTTTTTTTTTTTTTTATCTTAATGCATTACCTGCATTAGGGTACAAATACTTTCACTAGCTGTTCACTCCCCCCCCAAATACTAACCTTAGTCCGTCTTTTTCCCTGGTCTCACAGGGCAGATTGATAGCAGCAGAAGCTCCTGCTGCTGTTAATCAATTCAGTGAGGAGGGGGCAGGGCTAAGCCTTGTCATGTGTGTCTATGGATACAAACAGCCCTTCTCAAAAGCAAGCCTGCCCGTCTCCCCCGTAGTGTAGAAGAGAAGGAAACAAGTGTGCATTAAATTAATCAGCATATAGTAATGCCTTTTGGTCAGTAAAAAAAAAAAGTGTGCATTAAAAAGCAAATACCTAGACATGGAAACCCATCTTGATGTGAAAAAGTAAAAAGTAGGGCTATCCAGTTCAACTTGCCAGCCTACCCCAGTCTAATAACGGCCATTGTCGGCAAGGAACATGGATAGGTATAACTTATCAGCAAAGGGGGATAAGAAAAGCCAGTTCAATCTGCCAGACAGTTAGCCAACTATCAAAAACCAAATCAACCTATCTAAAAACATGCGTTTAAAAAAGGGGTTTAGTTAGCACACATTTGCAAATACATACGTAAGCCACAGAGCCCTACGTATTACTTTTTCACGCAGTGACGCCCTCCATGTTCACTGTTTAAAAAGCCAGTTATAGACCTGGGTAGGTGACCAGTTTTTTGTATGGAAACCCATCTGTTATGCATTTGTGAGTTGAGGCTTCTGTGTTTTGTGAACTACTTATAGGGTTGTGTTTTTGTATTTTTTTTCTTTGGAAAAATCCAGATTGCCGCTGTCCCAATTTTATCCAGAAGACCAGAAAAACTCTTAAAACAAGAAATTGCAAAGTCTCTTTTTATGGAGGAGGACTCATCAGGTAGCAACACATTGCATTTATCCTTGTGCATATTTACCTCCTAAGGATTAGGTTGTTTTTCTTTTGCTGCTGTGTGCTGACTTGCATTTTAGCTGTCGTATAGCCAAGTCAACTGATCAAATTAATATTTACCTACTTCCCCTTTCCCCAATATACTGTGTGCATATATATAATATTTTTTTTTCCTTGAAACAACATATTAAAATGGCAGTGAATGCTGAAAAAAAAAAGCCAGTTCCACTGCAAGATTATGTCACAATGTGCTGGTATGCATCAAATTCTAGCACATTATGAGAGACTAGCCTAAAAACGAAGCCTCCAGTGGCACGTTGCTGCCACTGATGGGGCTTTCATCTTCACCTGAATTTCTTTCCAGGTTTAAAGGCTCTGGCCGCTTGAATGATGTCATAGCTGTGGCACAGAGCTCTGGAGGGATGGCGTGAGTGTGCTGGTGACGTCACCAACTGCTGCTCCCTGGAATATCTCCCAAACGATTTATTACAAGCTTACCTGTAGGTAAAAGAAAAAACATGTTTACTATCACTTAAAATTACACAAAGTATTTTTAACCACTTGCCCTCCAGAGGTTTTACCCCTCTTCCTGACTAGGCCATTTTTTGCGTTACGGTTCTGTGTTATTTTAACTGACATATGCGTGGTCATGCAACGCTGCACCCAAATTAAATTTCCATCCTTTTTTTTCCACAAATAGAGCTTTCTTTCGGTAAAATTTGATCGCCTGTGCGGTTTTTATTTTTTGCACTTTAAAAAAAAAAAAAAAAAACAGACTGACAATTTGTAGAGAAAAACAATATTTTTGACTTTTTGCTATTAAACCTATCCAATAAAAAAAAAAAAAAAAAATTTTGTCATAAATTTTGGCCAAAATGTATTCTGCTACATGAAATGAAAGTAAAATCCTCCTGCGCTCAACAAGTAAGCTATATATATATATATATACACAAGCAGCTATCACCTTTTCCTATACCAAAGGTGCAGAGTAATAATAAGTAATGGTGATGAAGCGCTAATAAATACAATAAACAATTAATACAAAGTGCTGAATGCGTGATAATCTCAGTGCTAAAGTGCAAAACAAAATGGTCCCAAATATGGACCTATACAAAGTGCAAATACACACATGTGCAAAAAACGTCCATGCAAGAATTGTAGATATATGTGATTCAGTTGTCACTCCAAAAAACTTTCTGTGCTTGTGCAACACCCAGGTGGCTCAATATCCATAGATGGCCGAAATGCCCCCTCACCTTACCATGACCCCTCTGGGCCACAACGCTTTATACAGCAACACATTCTGGAGGTCTTTCATGTTTTTTGCCACAGATGGGGAACACCAGATGTGCACCTTCTGGTGTCCAAATTCAGTAAAAGAACTGGACAAGTTTGTTCAGGCCCATGGACCTTTTGGGCCTTCACACTGTATGCTCTGTTGATGCTGTGGGAATAGCTCAATCTGATCTGTGTTTTTTCGTTCTTCCGGGCCTTTTGGATTCTTTTGTCCCTTCTTGAAGCTTACCATCACACCTGAAGGAGACCTACAGAGTATTTGTTGTGAGTCAAGGAACTTTCAGCCTCGAGTACTCTGTGAGACGTATCCCTTCCATCCTCCAGTCAGGCCTGGACCAAACACTGGCTTTAAATACTGTTAAGGGACAAATCTCGGCTTTGGTAATTGTTTTTAAGAGACCTTCAAGGATAAGTTCATACATGGCCGCGCTGTTTTTAAATTATGACAGCAGATGCTAGGACAACATCCCCCTTCTGCTGTTACACCGAATGGGGTGAGGGGCAAATGGCAGCAGGAGCTGGAACATATTACATGTTCCACCCTAAATATGGGTGAACTTAGCCTTTCAGCCTCTATCTGGGTTCTCAGTCTGTTTCTTTATGCTCTTCAAAAGCCACTTTTTGAGCCTATCGGGGATATTCCCTTACCAGTAACGTGACCTTTCTTGTGGCTACTAGCCCAGCGAGGAGAGTCTGAGTTAGCGGCTTTATCCTGCAAGGAGCCCTTCCTACTGTTGTATGAGAACAGTGTTGTCTTGAGGTGTAAGGCTTGTTTTCTACCAAAGGTGTTCTTTGCTTTCCACCTTAATCAGGATATTGCCCTTTCTTCTTTATATCCTGCTCTGAAGCATCCTAAGGAAAAATCTCTCTACTGTCTGAATGTCGTTTGCCTCTCAGCTGCTGCCGCTTTTGAATAAATTGAATTCACCCTTTGTGCATTCTAAAGGTTCCTACAATGGCCTCCACCATTGCTAGGTGGATCAGAGTTAAGGCCTATAGTCTGAAGGTAGGGTTTCTCTCATCCCAGTAAACACTTGCTGCCACATCTGGTAATGCTTTTCAGTTTCAGGCATGTTTCTTAGATTACCAAGGCTTCCACATGGGATTCCATTCACACATTTGCTAAGTTCTTCTAGGTGCATGTTGAAGCCTCCTGATACCAGCTTTTGTTGTAAGGTGCTACAAGCTGCTGTGCTCTGAGTCTGTTAGGGCTTTCTTGACCTGCAGGTCTGTTGCATTGTTTGCCGTGTTGCCTACCTCTCGGCTGGATTGCTTTTGGCTGTCCCATTCATAGTGAGTGCCTGTGTCCTTCACTGTTCAATAAGAAAAATAGGATTTTGAATTGCCAGCAAAAAACATTTCCTTAAAGTACAGTACACATGACCCTCCCCTCAGTTTTGTAGCAAGCAATACAGAGATCATAAGAACAAAGGCTAGCTGGTAGAAATAGAGGGTTTTAAGGGGGGATGTCCCTTCCGCCTTTCTTGTTGTCAGTGTTTAAACACCTGATGGAAGTTGCATATAACCCAGTCATAGTAATTAAAAGACCTATGTGTCCTTTACTGTACAACAGGAAAGGGATTTTAATGGTAAGTTAAAAATTCAGTTTTTTTGTCCATTGAGGAACATAAGAATTCAGATGCAATCAGATTATACTGCTGTTTACGGAAGAGTGGATTCAGGCAAAATCAGCAAATTTTAAAACCTTTCTCCACCCAGAATGCCTCAGTGTCTTAGGAGGATATACATCTTTCATAATTGTTAATTAGTGGATACAGAGTGGAGTCAGATGTAGGATTATGTAGCTAAGCTACCCTCAGGAGATCGGACACTTGCAAGAAAAGCTATAAGACAAGCCATCATAACCCCTACCACTGCCAGCATGACTCAGAATGGATCTCTCTCCTTTTTGGTTTTTGTTTTGTTTTATTTTCTTTAGCAAGCTTCTTCAGTAGCTGAAGAGCTTACAAGTTCTCATTATTGCAGTTCTCCAATCAGCTGGTACTTGGCATCGCCTTGGATGTCTTACCCTGACCTCACAAACTGGAAAGCATGAGGCTGCCCTGTAATGTGACCTTTGGGTACTGGTCTCTGCTGAAGACATTTCCCAGCCACCTGGTTACTGCATGTAGCCACTGCACACTTTACAGGCTTAGGGGCCATACTGCACACATCTGGTGAAAGTCTCTCCCTTTACGGTGCATACTTTCATTGCTGACCACTCCTTCTGAAAAATTACTAGTTCCCTAGGTCTAATACTGATCGAATTCTTTCTTAATCACAGATGCTGAACAAGTATGCACTTTCAGAACGCTAACCTCACACTGATTTTTGCTTGCAGCATTCTTATTCTAAGCCAGTTCTGCTAAAATTATTAAACCCAGAGACAGCCAGGCAAAAAGTATGCTTAGGAGAACAACAATTGCAGCCTCACTGCTATTGTGCAAGTTTTCACTAATGAAATAGCCATTCTTGCCATGCACAAATATGTTCATCCTAATATTTTTTGTGCTTACTGTATTTTCCAGACTCAAATGAAGAGTTCTTTGACACTAAAGAAGTTGATCCTTCCTTTGTGAGAAGTAACCCTGTTCCAAAAGAGCCCTCACATAAGGATGATTCAGAACCTGCAGCAGAGACTAACCCCTGAGGATCTGACAGATCTGCACCTACAATTTGAAGTGAAAGAAGTAAGTTAATGTACACAACCCTCTTCATACCTTTATAATTGTATAATTTTTTTGCTGCATCAAATTTTACTAGGTATTGTATATAATGTTCTAAACCATATGTTATTTTGACTCTAGGTTATTTTGGAATTGACCAAACAACAACAGAAAGAGGAGATCACAGTTTTGGTGTTTAGAGTACAGCAATTGGGTACTGAAGCTTATGTTAAGACCTATGATCTTCAAGCTGTGGCCTATCTAAAAACAATTAGTCTGGACTACTATGATGTTCTAGGTAAATTATCATTAATATTATCATCATTATTATGTTTTTTCAGGATACAAATTTTCTTATGGTACATTGAATGTATTGCTTAATATATTTCTGTTGTTCCATCCTGCCTGCTATCCATTTGCTTCATACTTAAAGCGGAGTTCCACTCAAAAGCGCAAGCTCCGCTTATTTTATAAACACAAAAACTATTTTAATAAACACAAAAACTGCTGGAACTCCACTTTAAACTGTGATTGATAATGTTCATAATATTATAAATGTTATTATATTATAAATGTTTTACTTTTTTAATGTAAATATTAAGATTATTCTTCCATGATAATGTTACTAAGGTTGTTTGCAGAATTGTGATTTATATAAAATTCTGCTTGCCTCTTATTCCTCACAGCAATTCCTCTTTCTTTTGCAATAGCACTATATCATTGCTGATGACTATAGTGTCTGTTTAGCTTATTCTGTGGATTGTAGGTTTCTTTTAGAGCTTGAGAGGTTTGACTTGTTCCACTCTCAAATATTTGATACCACTAAAGCGCATCTTCATTTGGTTTGTCCTACCAAGGAGTTAGTGCTGTACTGATATTCAGGTAGACATTATCAGTAATTTTAGGTGGCAATCAGTAATCACTCCCTTAGGACGATTGCTAACACATGGTTTATTTTTTCGATGTTGTGCTGTCCATTTATGCAGCACTTTTTGTTGGTTGTTTTCCTTTTCTACATTGAAGATGAAAGGTTTTCAGTCCAATTTCTTACAGTGCAAGAACTTCCTGTACTGTCATAGAAAAAAACACTATCCTAATCATGCCAGGAAACTAGGAAAAGCTTGCTAGAAACCACTGAAAGTTCTTCTTTGGCTAGTGGGCTAGTACTCTTGACTCATAAATGTGCACTTTCTGCCACAATTTTCCTGCACCAACTGATCATCTTCTGTCTCACCTGTTGCATGATACAGGCATAAGAATTTAGTGATCACCTGAGATTTTGACATTTCTTAATGCTAAATCCCCTCATTCCATGAGTACCCCATTGGGGAAGAACCCCTGCAACAAACAGCCTCTCTGACTAAAGCAGAATTCTCTGCCACTATATCCAATCTGTTCCAAACGCTATCACAATTTCTGGAATTGATGGGTACCAACAGCTGTAAACACTCTTTTCCCTCTCCTTCCTTTGACTGTATTTTCATGCTTTACAACCTGAACTGCATAGCACACTACCACTTCCAGAAGGCAAGGGGGATGATGAAGCTTTAGAAGAGAATTTTGAAGATTTTTCACTGCCAGACCTATGTGAAGCTACTACTTCAGCTTCTCAGCACATGCTGGCTATTGTGGACTCATTAACTGAGGTAGTACATACTAGTCTCTGGCTAGATACATCTAATGCTGCACATTCTCCCCCTATTCCTATGTGCCCAAAATAGAGAACTATTTTTGAAAAAAAAAATTTCTATTCTTGATCTAGCTGACTGGGCTTTATACAATGATTATCCCAATTCCAAGGAGTTATTTACTTCTGACAATTTTGATGGATTGTACCCTATGGAAGTGGAATTTGGGAAAAAATGTACTGTTCTCACTAAATCTTCCCTTTCCTATACTGAATATTCCATCTACTGTTTCTTTTTCCTCCATTAACGATTGATAGGGGTTTGTAGACTCTTGTAAAGTTCTCCTTTGCTCTCGCAAGTTTAGCCCTTCAACTGGCTATTGACACAGATGCCTGATTATGGCAAACTGCACTGGAGAACTCCTGATACATGTAATCTTATTCTTACTACAGTCCCCCAGCAGTACATTTTGCATAGATGCCATGAAGAATGTGATTAATCAAATCTCTATAATGTCCTTACGTTCTATGTATATGCAAAAAAGTTTTTGGATTAAAGCTTCCTTGGGGGACCTTTTATGTATGCCCTTTGAAGGCAAGCGTCTCTTTGGAAATTCCCTTAAAGAATACATTGATGCAGCTACTAAGGGAAGGGAGTTTCCTACCCCACTACAAACAAATATATATATTATTATTATTATACAGTATTTATATAGCGCCAAAAGGTTTGCTCAGCGCTGTACATTATAGTGGGGGACAGTACATAAGACAATACACTAACAAAACAAAACACGAGGGGTTCGAAGACCCTGCTCTTTCGAGGTTACAATCTAGGAGGGAGGGGATAGTGCTACAGGAGGAAGTGACTGTGGGGGATGGAGTGGTAGGAGGAATGGAGGAGATCGGCTGTTAGGTGAGGGTGGGTTAGGCTTCCCTGAAGAGATGGGTTTTCAGGGTGCGCCTAAAGTTGAGGAGGGTAGGTGACAGTCTGATGGATTGGGGTAGTGAGTTCCAGAGGATGGGGGAAGTCCTGGAGAAGTCCTGCAGTCGGGCGTGGGAGAAGGAGACCAGGAAGCTAGAAAGTAGGAGGTCTTGTGAGGAGCAAAGAGTACGGGTTGGGTGGCATTTGGGTATCAGGTCGGTGAGGTAGTTTGGGGCAGCGCTAAGAATGGCTTTGTATGTCAATGTTAGTAGTTTGAATTTAATGCGTTGGGTAATCGGCAGCCAGTGGAGGGAAAGACAGAGAGGGGTGGCAGAAGCGGAGCGGTTGGTAAGGTGGATGAGTCTGGCCGCTGAGTTCAGGATAGACTGAAGCGGGGATAGCCTGTGTTGTGGTAGGCCAGTGAGAAGGGAGTTGCAGTAGTCCAGATGTTAGATAATAAGGGAGTGAACGAGTTGTTTAGTAGTGTCTGGGGTTAGGAACGTACGTATTTTTGAGATGTTGCGGAGCCTGCATGAGTTTGCCAGCAATTGGACATGGGGTTGGAAGGACAGGTTGGAGTCTAGAGTGACACCTAGGACTTTGGCTTGTGGGGTGGGACTGATGGTGGTATTGTTGGTCGTGATGGGGGGGGGGGGGTCACGGTCTGGGGGGGAAATTAGGAGCTTGGTTTTGGAAAGGTTCAATTTGAGGAAATGGAGCGACATCCAGTCTGATATGTCGTTCAGTAGGTGGGTGATACGGGCGGAGACCGAGGGGGTGAGGTGAGGGGTGGAGAGGTAAATTTGCGTGTCATCGGCGTATAGGTGATAGTTGAAGCCATGGGAGTGTATCAGTTTGCCGAGGGAGGAGGTGTAGATGGAGAAGAGAATGGGCCCAAGGACAGAGCCTTGGGGGACCCCAACAGAGAGGGGGAGAGAGGGGGAGGTGGTAGCGTTATAGGTAACGCTGAAGGAGCGTTGGGATAGATAGGAGGAGAACCAGGAGAGAGCTCAGCCTCTGATGACAAGGGAGTGTAGTTTATTAAGGAGGAGGGGGTGGTCAACTGTGTCGAAGGCCACGGAGAGGGCGAGGAGTAGGAGGACTGAGTAGTGGCCATTAGCTTTGGCGGTTAGCAGGTCATTAGTGATTTTGAGTAGGGTGATTTCGGAGGAGTGTAGGGGATGGAAGCCAGACTGTAGTGGATCGAGGAGGTTGTTGTCAGTGAGGTGATAGCTTAGGCAATTGTAGACTAAGCGCTCAAAGAGCTTCGATGTAAATGGCAGCAGGGAGATGGGTCTAAGGTTGTTCAGGTCGGTGGGGTCCAGGGAGGGTTTTTTGAGTATAGGGGTGAAGTGCGTGTGCTTTAGGGGGGGTGGGGAATGCGCCAGTAGAGAGGGAGAGATTGAAGATGTGGGTGAGGGAGCATAGGATGGAGGAGGAGGGTGACCGGAGGAGTTGTGTGGGGACAGGGTCAAGGGGGCAAGTGGTGAGGTGGGCTTCTGAGAAGACCTTAGTGACCTCCTCAGTGGTAGCAAGGCTGAAGGAGCGGAGTGTTGGGGAGGTTATAGTGTGCGGGATGTTAGGTGTGGTGGGGGGCAGGGGCGGTTGCGAGGTCAGAGGAGGGGAGAGTTGATGGGGTTATAGTGGGAGAGAGGCTAGGTGGGGAGGTAGATTGAGCATTGGCGATGTCCTTATGGATTGCGTCAATCTTGTTTTGGAAGTGATTGGCAATCTCATGGGCGGTGAGTGAGGTACTGGGTGGAGGTGGGGGAGAGAGAGAGTAGGGAGTTGAAAGTGGAGAAGAGCCGGCAAGGACAGGTGGAGAGGGTGTTGATAAGGGTTACGAAGTAGGCTTGTTTGGCGGTGTGGAGGGAGGAGGTGTAGGTGAGGAAGGCGAATTTGTAGAGGGAGAACGCTCGAGGGGATCTGGTTTTGTGCCACAATCACTCCTGCGCGCGACTACGTCATTTAAGATTTTTAGTGTGGTCGTTCTGCCAGGGTTGAAGCGGTTGGGGTCTAATGCTGCGTGTGGTTAGGGGTACTAAGGAGTCTAGGAGTCTAAAGCAGCTGACAGCGAGTCGTTATAAGCAGTAGTGGCCAGGTCAGGGCATGACAGTGAAAGGATGCTGTCGTACAGACGGTCAGCTGCAGAGTGGAAGGGGGCAGGGTTCAGGTTGCGGAGGTTTCGGTTGGTGGTGGTTTGATGTTTGGGGGGGAGGTGTTTGAGGACGGGAAGACGGAGAACGTAATGAGGTTGTGGTCAGAGAGAGGGAAAGGGGTGTTTGTGAGTTTGTGGGGGGTGCAGAGATGAGAGAAAACGAGGTCCAGGGTGTTCCCGTCGGTGTGGGTGGAGGACTGTGTGAGTGCAAAAGAAGAGGTTAAGTGGAGGAGTTGGGATGTAGGCGGGTTGTTGACGTTGATAGGGATATTGAAGTCACCAAGGATGATGGTGGGTAGCTCAGAGGAGAGGAAGAAGGGTAGCCAGGCGAAAAAGTCGTCGAGGAAGTGGGATACGGGTCCAGGAGGCCGATAGATTACTGCAAGAGCCAGATGCAGTGGGCCTCAAAGGAGGAGAAGGATAGAGAGGGGGGGTTTGGGAGGACCTGGAAGGTGCTCAGTGGTGACAAGAGCATGCCGACACCACCACCTCTACGACCCCTCGGTCTGGGTAAATGGGACCAGACGAGACCTCCATAGGAGAGTGCCGCAGGGGAGGTGGAGTCAGTGGCTTGGATCCAGGTTTCGGTGA